GGAATAAACCCAGGGCTGTGAGCCAGAGCGCTCCTAGAAACCTCCCCCCAGGGTTACCTGTCAGAACACGGGACGTAGCGGGTGAATTTATCCCCATCCGAGGGATTTCAGCGGTTGTCATCACGTGTGGCAGGCAGCCAGGGCTTGGTTCTGCTCTGAGGGGAGATGGGGCTCTGGGGCCCCTTCCCTTGCAGGTGACTGTGCTGGGGGACGCAGGAGAACTCTGTTCTAGGTGAGGGGAAAAGGGGCTGGGGGCTTTCTTTGCGACTGGCAAAGCGTAGCCCAGGCTTCCTGCAGGCAGGCTGAAGTCTTCAGTTATTCTCCCGCCAGAGAAAAGTTGTCAGCGTGGGACAAATTCTCAATATTTTATCTAAAAGGACCAGAATCTCAGATAGCAAGGCAGCCACAGGAGCAATTTCACCAGATTAACTGGGCACTACGCATGTTAGTTTCTGTGTAATGCCTGGGCACTTTAGCCGCAACACACGATGACTCGCTTAAACCCCTCTCCAGTTTCAGAGGCTCCCATCTTCTTGTGCACTCCAACCCTCCGTACTCTCCAGCAGCTGCTTTTGTCCAGCTAGTGGGTTCTCATCTGAACTGGACTTGTGCAAGAGACTCTGGAAACCAGCCAGCACCACACCGCGCACGGCTCAGCCCTGGCCCGCCTCACTCACCAGCTAAAGTTGTGCGAACGTTTCACACCTCTGCCTGCTTGCGTCAGGAGCTCCGAGGTGAACCTCCGCCCCACCGGCGTCCTGAGCCTGCTCAAGCTCCAACAAAACAGGTCGTAGAGACTCCTGGGGGAAAAAAGTCTTTACGCCAAAAGATTGTGGATGAACTGAAGCACTATTACAATGGATTCCACTTGCTTTGGATTGACACCAAGGTGGCTGCCAGGATGGTGTGGAGGCTGTTACACGGTCAGGTCCTCACGAGGAGGGAGAGACGAAGGGTAAGTGCCCAACCTACCAACGCCTTGCTAAAGTGATGCGTTAAGAGGCTTACTGTAAGGAAAGAAGTTTAACCACTTGGTTTCCACACTTCTTTGGAACACTTGTTTTTTTAATCTGGTTGCGTAATAATTTCTGCTGTGCTCTTCTCTGTACAGCTGCTGAGAACCTGCGCAGATCTCTTCCGGCTGGTGCCCTTCCTGGTGTTTGTCATTGTCCCCTTCATGGAATTTCTGTTACCTGTTTTCTTGAAACTCTTCCCTGAAATGCTGCCCTCGACATTTGAGACAGAGTCAAAGAAGGTTTGTGTCCTTTCTGAAGGTGTAGGCTGTGCGCTCCAGCTCGTTAGAACATCTGTGCAGCTGCATAAAGAGCTGTTGTTTCCTGCCTGCTGCTGTGAGTGAGTGTTGGCCTCACACACACGTCTAGGTCAGACATTCCTAGGCAGGACAGCAGCATGTGAAGGCTGTACTGTACACAGAGACCACTAGGAAGGTGCACAGCAAACTCATTTTCTGCAGTAACCAAAGCCTACTTGCTGTCAGTACTGAAGTTATTTCATCTCTTCCCCAGAATCCCTTCCATTCTGATTTTCTCGTGGAATTACTAATGATGTTTTATTTCCTAAACGAAGGAAGAAAAGCAGAAGAAGAAATTAAATGCAAAGCTGGAGTTAGCAAAGTTCCTACAGGAGACCATTGCAGAGATGGCCAAAAGGAACAAAGCAGATACAGGACAAGGAAAACAATTCTCTTCCTATGTGCACCAGGTAAAACGGGCTGTGCTGGGGAGGGCAGCAGTAGTACTCACCGCAGCTTTAGCGCTGTTGTTTTGGGCAGAGAACGTGCGATTTGTACCAACATTGCAGAGGGGCTGGATTCACAAACTGCGGTTCTGGTTTAGTTTGGCCCTGATGCCTCTGCTTTGTTTAGATCCGTCACACCGGCCATCAGCCCAGCACCCAGGAAATCGTGCGCTTCTCCAAGCTGTTTGAGGATGAGCTGACCCTGGAGCACTTGGAACGGCCACAGCTGGTAGCTCTTTGCAAATTGCTGGAGCTGCAGCCCATTGGCACCAACAATCTGCTCCGCTTTCAGCTTCTGCTGAGACTCAGAACCATCAAGGCAGATGATGAAGTAAGTTTAAAATAGCGCAGGTGTAGCTGCTTTGGTGGGATGCACGCTTTTCACAACCGCAAGCTCTGCCCTCTGAATCACAGGCTGCCTGCTTCACAGGAGGCGTGTGTCACTGCCCACGCTCCATCCTCAGATGTGAAGCTTAATATTGATGGGAGTGGGATTGTCCCCATGAGAGATTCCAGAAAGCAACAGAATGAGAGTTCATCTTCCTGCACCCTTGCTGTCTTTGGTGAACCCTGACGACTGGGGCACTGCAGACACTGTCACTGTTTAGAACACCCTTATATTTTTATTCTGGAGTTGCACTAACTTGTAAAAAAAGGGAAGTTCCAATTCTGGAATAAATATTCAATGGGAACACCAGATTTTAACCAACTGAATTCAGTATGAGTTTATATTAGTAGTCAGCTCTGTCTTGTCTTTGACTTCACACACGTTTACCTGAAAAGACATTTCATTGGGCTCATGCTCATCAAGTACATCAGGGTTTTGGCTTACTCTGGGCCTAGATCAGAACATTCCTTTTCATTTCAGATGATTGCCAAGGAAGGAGTCAATGGCCTAAGCGTGTCTGAACTGCAGAGCGCGTGCAGAGCCAGAGGAATGCGATCGTTGGGTCTCTCGGAGGAGCAGCTAAAGGAACAGCTCGGACAGGCAAGAACGCTCTGCTCTGCTCTTGTATGACGAGAAGGTTCTGAAGCAGCCAAGGCTTACAGCAGAGCCAACACTAGTCTCTTACAAGCATTTGAATGGGTTATAGATGCTGCTGTAGGTGCTGTACTTCAGATAAGCTGGAGATAATTCAAAGCACTTCGCTTTCACTGTTGGCTGTTTGTCAGCAGTGATGCTGGTACTCTAGTGTGTACTCCGTACAGTATTCTGAACTCTTCAAAACTGTTTCTTCTCATTGTAGTAACCTGAAACTGTATTAGCCAAACTCAGGATAGCTTTAAGATCTTTAAGGACAAAGAGTGCTATATAAGTACTGACGTGGAGCCAGTATGAAATAGCTTTTCCTTCTGCTTTCTTCTAACAGTGGCTGGATCTGCATTTAAAGGAGAATGTTCCACCTTCTCTGCTCCTGCTTTCCCGTGCCTTGTACTTAATAGATGTAAAGCCACAATCCGTTCCCGTTCCACAAAATAAGGTGAGTTGTTTGAATAAATTTTCAGGTTAATAGTTTAACCATTACACATTATAAAAATAAAGCACTGTGACATGAATCCTGTCCTTTGATCCTCCAAGTGGACTGAAGTTACAACTCTGATGAACTGTATGTTTTTCCGTAGATAGGTGAAACTGCTGGAATCATGACATCCATTCCTGAAGGTCGAGAGACGCTGGTGGATCCTGCCCCTGTTGTACAGGGGAGAAAGGTTAGAAACTAGCAGCCTACAAGTAGGAAAACAAGTGTCTAGTGCTGTAATCTTTGGGAAGAGTGTGTGAACAAATCCTTCCCGGAGCTAGACAAAACCCAATGTTTGACACCATTGCACAGAGCACGTGAGCAATGTATATTCTTACATTGTGTACGTGTTTTTGCCTGAGAGCCTCACAGTTGCACACTCTGACTTAAGGGACAGTGGAGTGGCACGGAGATCTGCTGTGGCACTTCTTGTCCTGTTGCTGGAGGCAGCTGGTTATTCAGTAGCACATTCCTGGCTTCCAGCAGAGGAGCACTCACAAGGTTCTGAGTTGCTTGATTCACATAAGTACAGAGACTTCACTCCAGGTACGCTTAGCTCAGAGAAGCCAGTGCAAGGTGACGTGTTTTTCAGCTCTCCTAGTGACCTTGGGCCGAGTTGTGCAGCACAAAAAGAGACAAAATACCTAGAGTAAGAAAGCCAGAGCGTACGGTCCTCAGCATGAGGCTGAAGTGAATTCCTTAGACTAGTCCAAGCTGATAAAAGCAGCAACAGAAGTTTAAGGATAATATTGTGTCAACTGCTAGAAATATTTCCAAACAGCTCTATCAAATTGCATAGGGGAAATGAAGGAAATGCCGACATACAGCCTTCGCAAACACACATGGCAGGAACAGCCTTATTCAGAAAGGAGGTGGGGCTGGACGGGGTCTAGCTAGAGCTTTGTTTTCTGAGAGGTTCTGTGACCTAAAGCTGCTTTTTCCTTAAAGAATGAAGAATTTGTATCCCAACCAACACAGAAATTGCCGGTCACAGAAGTGTCTGTTCAGCCTCCCCAACGAGAGGTAAGCTTTTCAGAATTCCTAGACCTTCCAAAGGAGGTTGTTCTCTACACAGCTTACAGACAAACTCAAATTTGTGCTACAAGATGTGAATGTTCAGTTCAAGGAGCGACTGGAGAAATTGTGGACGAGAACTGCACTGAGGGCAGTTAAATACAAAAATCAGACTGGGGAAGGTAGCAGAGCACTGTGGGGAATTCCCTTTCCTTGTGCTCTTCCTTAGCAATCGGCTTTGGACCACTAGGATGATGGACCAGCCTTCCATCAGAACCACCCTTAGTTTGTACCTGTAAAAATATTTCTACAGTGATTTGCCTTTCTTTTGCCCATTTTCTTTCTGTGAATATTTGATTTCAATTCAGCTGCTGCTGTGTACATCTAGGACGCTCGCTTAAGGCAAGTTTGGGAGACAGGAGAACACTCCTTTACCCTGAAAAACTTTGTTCTTAGTCAGCTGTTATTCTCCAGAGCAGCTTCCCATAGGAAATGGGAAGATAGCTTCTTCAAATAAATGTTTTGAATTTCAAGAAGCATTGGTGTTGGTACTGGCTAAACCCCGCAGCTTTCTCTTACACCCAGACTAAAATGGAAGCATCTCAGAGCAGCACGGCCGGCGCCAACGGAGTCTAGCCTGAAGCCAGCGAGGGCTGTCTAACACTGGGAGAGAAGAACTTTCATCTCAGCACCTCCTTCAAAGGGAAGAGTGATTTTCCAGGAGCTGCTTTACCCAGAAAGGTGTCAGTAGCCCTCAGGGGCCTCTCCGTCTGTTCCGAGCTTGTTAGGAACTGGGCCAGGCTCAGGCTGCCTGGATGGCACCCGCCTCGTGTTTGTACCCTGCTCCCATCTTAACTTATGTTGTAAATACGTTAATAACGATGCTGCTGCCTGGGCTGTTCTGAACAGGTGGTTGTGCTCTCAAACCTTAGGAAAGGAGCTTTTCCTTGGCATAAAGCCTGGGTGCAGGACGAGCTGGGCTGGAAGTCCAGTAAAGCCAGTTCTCCAGTTTGAAATCCTCTGCGGGAACAGACCCAGGGCTTGCAGCTTGCCCGGCTGCTGCAGCTTTACGAGCTTGAGCTCTTGACCCTAGTTAGCATGGTTTAACCAGTAACTAGTGTGCAGAGCGACCCGTGTAGCTGTTGTATTTCACTGTCCCGTTTGTACTGAGGGAGAGGAACCGCATCAGAGGGAGGACCAGCGCTCAGTGCCGTGTCAAACTGAGCTGTTGGGAAAGGCTGAAGAACTTGCTGGAGGTGAGCAGAGCGGCAAAGAGGACAGCTTGCACTGTGCGAGCGTTTGCATTCCTCAGTGAGAGCCGCAGCAGGCGCGAGACGCTGGTACAGAAGGCAGAGTACTTGCGTTTGTAGGATCCCGCTGGATCATGTGAGGTAGCGACCTGGGGACCCACACACATTTCCCAAGTCCGATGTGAGGCTTGGTTAAACCTTATCGGGCTCAGAACTGCACATCAGCAAGTGCTCTCAGATGGACTGCTTTATAAAGGATTCTTCACACTCCAGTGGTGACTGCTTTTTTGGTAGGAGGATACTGAAATCCATGTTTTTAGCATTTGTTAGTTTTTTTACTTTGTCCTATGTAAATGTTCAGAAATCACTCACATTATGGATTTTAAATATGTATATTTATACTTACTGTAAAATTAAAGTTAGACTTGGTGCTATGTAGAACAAAATGTCTTTTCTAGAGACCAGGCACCCTGTAGAACAATCTGACTCAAAAAAAGCCAGTGATCTCTAGGTCGGGTGTTATCAGCACTTTAAACGTGTGAGTTCAGGCTCTTGCTAGCAACGCAGAAACAGCCTGTGGGAAACAGCTGCCCCTGTGCTGTGCTCTGGGTTCTGTACCTGCACCCCTGCCTCGTTAGTGCAGCCAGCGTGCAATGCTGAGTATTTGTATTTGGTGGTTAGTAAAGGAGAACAAATATTATTTCAATAAAATAACCCCATCACTCAAGTGTGACTCCTGCCTCTGTGTTGCGCGGATGAGACGTTGCTGGTACCCGTTACTCTGCTGCTGAGACAGAGCAGCCTCTGGCTCTCTGGCAGAAGCCTTGTCTCCTTCCTGACGCTGACAGTTGCTGTTATTGAACAGAACGGGGAGCTGACATCTACAGAGCCCGCTTTGCTTAGAAAAGCGTTTCACCCCCTAAAGAGCCGAGTACAAACGTTCGGTGCAAGATTTCACAGGTGCTGAGCACCGAGGTGAGCGTGCAGAAGTAAAAGAATGCGAATAATTTCTGTATTGCGGCTAAAGCATGTAAACAGCCAGACAGAATTCCTGAATTCAAGGTAGGTGGGGCGGGTCTGCACCCCTACTCTTTGCCAGCTGTCAATAGCTCACATCACTGTTCCCAAGGGACGTGTTTTCCTAGTACAGCGTGAAGCGATCAGTCTGTGCACAACTCGCACAAACCGACCTCGGCCGGTGCTTTCCCTGCGCTGGAAACCATCACCCAGCGCTGCCCACCAGTGCAGCCGCCGGCAGATAGCAGCACCGCCCAACTCTTGTACCGAGCAGCCCTAAAACGGGCTGCTGAGGTGAGACCGCCTGGTTTGGGATGGTTTCCCCCCACAGTGCGTGTGCCTGGCTCCAGCCTGGGTCCGGTGCATCCTGCCCACCGACAGCCCTGCGGGGTTCAGGATCCCACTCCCCAGCAATGCGGAAAATGCCCCCCCTATCACGGCTGAGGCATTGCAGATTCCCAGAATCGGCCATTCATTAGCGCAGTGTAATAAAGTGATCTCAGCACCAGCCAGACTTCAAAGGCTGCGGTTTCCCCCATGCCTGCAACAGCTGAGCTCCAAAGCTCAGACCTGGGTACTGTGGCCAGACGCGCTCCAGCCAGCAGAGGGGAAAAAAAAAAAAAAACAACAAACCCTCAGCCATGCACAGCCCTGCACTTTGCAGTGCTGTCCTTCCTTCTGCAGCTGCAGAGCTAACACCCTCCTGTTTTCTAACCTCCCTGCAGAGAGCAGGGTCCCTAAGGCAGCATCACCCGGACTGTCTGAACACCCAGCTCCAGGAACAATGGTTTGGAGTCACAGCACGAGCCCACGTTCCTCCGGAGAGGCAGGGGCCACGCACGGAGCTTCTCCCCAGCC